CGATCCCAGGACGCTCTGTGGTTCCACACTCTGTTTACATCACCGATACGGCACCTAGCAACCACCAGCCGATGGTCACTACATGTATGTAGCAGCGTCGCTGGGTGTGACCTTGCATCCCTGAGCATAGACTTCTGCTGGAACTTACACAATGATAATTGTAATCAATTATTTTGAGATTCCTAGACTCACTGTTTTCTTCACTCCCATAATCCAGGATAACTAATCTTGTTCTTAATCTTTTCTCCCTTTCCATCGTCATCATAACATTGGGCATGATTGCCCGTATGACTTGCGATATAAATAAAAGCAATACGCACATACATTTGTTTGAAGATAGGAAGAATGTTTCCAGATACATACCACATCTCGTCGGTGTCCAGTCCATGTCGCAAAGTGCCTGGCCGAGTGTTGAAACGCAGTATTTGCGGCATACAGCTGGTAGATCTACAGTTGATAGAATGACGTCAGCTCATCACTGGAATCGCTTGCCACGACCATAACGACCAGTACAGCCGTAACTGCCACATGGTGCTTCATTGCTAAGCCTTGCATTGAAGTCACCTGTCACGAACAACAAGGCAAATTATGGTGTAAAAAAGGAGGACTAAATGTTACGAGTTATGACTAACTGTCCGCCAACGTAACCAGATCTTATACAGTCAGCGAGTGCGACAAAATGGCACAAAACTGACAAGGAGTACTGAGACATTCGGTGACCTGACACCTAGCTCCAACAATTCTCCTTAGTCAGAACTCGTAACATGTTGTCCTCCTTTTTCACCATAATTTAATTGGCTCACCGTCCGAGTTAAATTAAACAAGGCAAATGGTCGCACAGCGGAAACAGCGTCGCTCAGGGTCTTGTAGAACGAATCCAGGTAGTCCGCGTCCTTTGCGACTAGGGTAAACGTAGGAGCATAGACGTTGGTGATACTAATGAGATGCCCACTGCCGCTCCGAGCTCCTTTTTCCGACAGAACAATTATTTGCAAAACGGCGACTCTATCCGACATGCTCCAGTATCGAAAAACTCTCTTAACGAGGTGCTGGGATATAGCGAACCCTAGGCCGTAGTGCCGAGATTCCGACGGCGGTAGAATTCATCTGAAGTCACTTAGACAGAGGTCTCCTGTGGCTGGTGACTTCGTTTCTTGAAGACAGCATACGTCTACTGACTATCTTTTTCAAGTCGGCGGCGAGCTGCTGATCTTTACTCGACGACGGCAGGCCTCGAACATTGAATGTTCCGACTGAAATGAGACGGCTATTAGTGACCATAATGATAAAGACTAATACGGGAAAGAGCAAAGGCATTCGGGTGATTAGACTAGCTTAGCTCACTAGGAGTGGGAGGTAAGAGGAGAGGGTCACTTCCCCAACCGAACAACCGAGGGGATGGAGTTCTTATACCTATTCCCAAGCCAGGCAAGCCACCAGGCCCACCGGCACACCTCCGTCCGATCGCAACACTCCGTAAGATGTTGTCGCTGGTTGTGCTAGGGAGAATTCGCGATGATGTTGAGAATTTCCTCTCACCAGGTTAAAAAAAATTATTTAAGTGGCTTCCTACAGCGCAGGAGCACAGCAGACATTGTATGGGGTTACAGGTGGACGAGTGCAGCGTGTCAACACCATACTACTTGTAAGTGGAATATCAGCATTCCAGGAATAGACATGTGAAAGGCATTTGACACGGTGGATCAGGACAGGCTGATGCGAGTGCTGCAGGTAATCGTTGGAGAGGATGAGCTACGGCTTATATACCTGCAACTGGCGGACATATCCCTGTGTACACGCATGCCCGGTGCAAGGCATACGCCATTCAAGACCAACATCGGAACGCCGCAAGGTTACCAGGTCACCAGTCCTCTTCACACTGTAGATCTACGTCGAGGCAGCCCTGAGGCTGAGGAACGAAGAGCTACGAGAGAAGCTTCCTGCCAGACCAGCAGATGACATCAGATTCTCTATTCCCACAGATACCGAGTATGCGGATGATATCGACTTTCTGAGTGCGTCCATGCAGCATCTATCGTTATAGGATTGTCTGCCAGTCATCACAGACACCCTCAAGTACTGGTGCCTCAACGTCAATGTATCAAAAACCGTCCTTACGACCATTGACCGCCAGACAGACCGTACCTCTGAACAATGGAGAAACACAAAAAAAGCTGGGATCCCTGCTAGGAACCAATGAAGACATCCGAAAACGACAAAGCCTTGCAACAGCAGTCCTGAAGAAACTCTGGGTGCTATGGGTCAGACCCAATCTTGTCAGAGAAGCTCTCCATATACGCATACTAGTATACAACATTATGATCCTTGCCCTCCTATGCTACAGTGCTGGTGCATGGAAGATGACAGACTCAGTAGCTGCCACGCTTTCCACTGGAAGCAACTGAGAAGTGTTGTTGGAATCCATTGGCCTCAAGTCATCTCAAACGCTGACCTGTACGCGAGGTGCAACACCGAACGGGTATCCATCTCAATCGCAAAAGCAAGATGGGGATATTCGGCCATGTCCTGCGGTTGGACGGAGACGTCCCAGCGCATGCAGCAATGCAGGCCTACTTTAGTGTGTGGGACCTGACGACCGGCTACAGAGGCCGACCAAGAACAGAACTGCCAACCGTCCTACACAATGATCTGACGAGTATCGGAAGGTCGCTCAACAACCGTACAGACCTCTGCAGAGTCCCCGATGTTCTCTTGCTGTTGTTGTTGTTGTTCTCTTCCGTTCTATGTGGGCATGTGCGCTTTCATAAAAAAACTTTGAAAATACTACTACAGTACAGTAGTAGTATTTGAACAGGCAGCGAGGTGACAAATGTTTAAGGTAAAAAAAACCTTCATGAAATGATGCTTCAGCTGATTCTGTTTATTGCCATCCTTATACCAGTGTAGTATACCGTATTAGTCTAGATGAACCTTGTTTTGTTGAACAACATGCTCAATCGGCGGACAGAACTGGTTCATTCTTTGTGGACTCATCAGCGCAGCACAGAAAGTGAGGCCGAACCTGATAGCAATGAAAAATAAATTTCCAAAGCCAGATTTAAAGCAGGCACGAAAGTACCTTGCCAGAGTGCTCAAGCTGACAAGTCAGTGAACTCTATATAACGCAAACAGCAAAGGCACTACCCCACATGAGAGTAGGGGTGTGCGGATAATGCTCGAAAAGGTGGCAGATTCTGCTCGAAAAGTAGTGAAATTGGCAGAACCATACAAAACCTTATGGCGGGCAATTCCTCGAATTCTGCTCCATTTCTTGATCCACATATCAAACATGCATGAAACTTACCAGAAAAAGTACCGAATTCTGCCAATTTTTCTGCCGGCATTATCCGCATATACTTAAATGAGAGTGCTCAACTGCTACAAGAGCAGAAGTGAAATATTATGTACTAGCATGGGTTTGATGTCATCGTCGAGTTTCATCCCTTGGTTTTCTTCTTTCTTTCCTTGTCGTATTGTTTGAATAGATCCGTTTTGACCAGTATGGGTGACACACAATTCCCTTTGCCTGTAACTGGCCATACACGAGACTCTCAGCATCTTTGCTTGAGAAAGGGTTCATTCACAAGTTCACTACACCAATTGGGCCAATCGCGTGAAACCATGAAGTAAGGGTCAAAGCAAAAGACAACCCAAATTTGGAAATAAATAGAACACTCAATTGAAATGTAAGATTGAAAACAAAAGCTTCACAAGAAATCGTTACCTAACAAGATTGCCTACTGGCCTGCAAAGGCGAAGTCACGCCTCTGTCCGTGTCAGCACAGCCGGCGGAAATATGCTGCAAAGGGGCTTCCGACCTTGCGGCGAATGTAAGAGGCCCTGCAGCCCCAAAAGCACGTGACTGCCCATCACAGCCGGCAAAACGAAACCCGGGTTCGTAACTCACCCATCACGGAATAATAATACCAAGTCTTTGTTTTTGTCTGCAACCAAAGGAGCTAGCGACTTCAGAAATATAGTGGTTTCCTTGCCCGTCACACCCGAGGTCGAAAACACCTGCGGGCAGCGGGGTGAATGATGCTCAATCCACCTGGCTGACTCTGGCACCATACGCCGCCTTCTTCATTCTCTCCTGTGTTCTCAGGTGGCTAAGGATTTCGGGACGAGACAGCAAGGACGGCCCAAGGTCAGCGACCCTTACATAAAACAGGCGTCTTGCTGCCGAAACCACGAGCCCTTATGTCCAGGCGTGCCTCTGGCTGACGATTAGCCGAAGAGGCAGAGATGTCCGCAGCGGCACCGTGTTTCTGACACTAGTAGTGATAATAGTGATATGATATGATAATTGGAAACTTTGATATCGCATGCTTTAAGTAAAAGTAAATTATCGTGTCCGTTCCCGAAGGGAACTCACGACGGCCGCTAACACCCGGTAAACCCTAGCGGGAGATGCAGCGCCTAAATGCTTTACAGCCCTCTTAATCTATACAGGGGGATTGGGGGGGGGGGGGGGGGGCATTAGAAAATTACTGCTGTACGGGCGTGACGTGGCTAAAATTGAAATATCTCAAGAACGCTTTGTCGTAGAGACGTCGGACCAAGAGACCCAAGACCATTCGACTCGAATTCCGCGCAAGTAATAGAGGCCACGCCATGGCGCCAATATGTACCATAATTGAATAACTAGTGAAGACCTGAGGATAATTATCTCTTCACATTGGAATTGGTTTATCACGTGCTTTGCGCGTGCACTGGTGTCTCCCACTTTAAAAACTACATGTACATGTACATGTACACTGCTGGTAACTGAAATCCGACCCCTGAGTGGTGCGCTCACATCGCAAAGACCCAACACGGGATTGTAAAACTACGAAATACAGACCACTGGAATGTGAACGCACCGCTCAGAGGTCGGATTTTTAAAATTTGCCAGCACTGTGCTTCTGTAGATCTACACACAAAGCGGAACGAATCGCACTTGATCGTCGCGCGCAGACCCACCCGGTTTTCAGGAGGTGCTAGGTGGTAGAGTCTACGTTTTGACCAGAGTGCTGCTGCTACCGTCGCAGATCTGTGCGCTCAAAACACATAGAGTCTACGAGCCCAGTTAGTTCAGGGTCGTTTGTTCAACTGGTGCAACAAAGACGATGGAGGCTATACAGTTGTTCCTGCTGACCTGTGTCCCACTGTTGCTGTTAGCATGGCTGATATCTCGGAAAGAAACGTCTTCAGGCAAACCTACTTCCGAAAGTCGAGGGAAGACTCCCAAAATACTGAAAACATGGTACAGTTGGTGGACGGGTCATGTCGGATACATCATCAAGAATAAGAATCGTGGCGTTGAGCAGTTTCGATTCAACCTGCACGACCTAGCTCGAGAAGCTCCGGAGCCGGTAATGGCGATTTATGCTCTCGGTCCCAGATGGCTGACCAAACCCGTGTACAGTATCAACGATCCGCAGTTGATCGCCACTGCCACGACGTCCAGCAAAACGGCCAGGTTCGCTAGCCTGCAAGCCGCCTCTACCAGCGTCCTCGGTAGAAAATCCCTGACGGCCTTGCGCGGCGAGGAGCTGAAGCGCCATCGCAAACTCCTCACAGCAAGCATCCTGTCCCGCAAGGCACTCTCCAGGTTCGTGAACATCATGGGTGACGTGACAAAGACCTACTTTGGAACGCTACCCAACCCTGGAAGAAGCGATGATAGCCCGACGTGCTTTGATCTTGAGCTCATTACGAGCAACGATATAGGCGCGATGGTGGTGGACGCCTTCGCCAATTTCGGCTTCGGCGCCAATGTATCCCTTGCCGCAACTGACCCGACGGACATTGAGCGTCGCCAACGGATTCACAGCAGCATCGACTTCCTCTTTACGGTGTTCTCCGAGCGAATAGCCAAAGTGGGACCATTCGACTTTCTGGCGTATCTTGACGTCCGCAGGAACTACAAGCTGCGCTGTACGCAGGATTACCTGCGCAACGAGATAATCCTGCCCGCCATACGACATCGCAGAGCGGAGACGTGCGAAGGTGGTGACGTGCCGGCGGACGCGCTCGACATGATGCTGGAGATTACGGAGGACGGCACGCAGGCGTTCACCGAGGAGGAGATCTGCGACGAGGCGATACTCATGCTGTCGGCGGGCCACGAGACCACAGCGTATTCCATCATGTGGGCGCTGTATCAACTAGGTAGGTACTCGAAGTAGACAACTGAAATCCGACCACTGAGCGGTGCGCTCACATCGCAAAGACCCAACACAGGATTGTAAGACTACGAAATAGAGACCGCTAGAGTGTGAACCCCGCTCAGGGGTCGGATTTCAGTTGCCAGCATTGCAGTAATACTAATAGACTACATTACTCCCAGTAGATCTACTCGTGCTGTAAACCTCCTGCATTGTATGGAGCTACAATGCTCCTTATCGTACATTGTAAGACAAAGAGTTTCAGTGCGTTTGACACTCCAGATGTGTGAAGAAATATTTGAATCAGTTCCTACAGATCTCACACATGAGTAGAATGTGTCCTGCGAGATTTGTTTGCTATATTTAGTAATTAGAGGTTTGTCCAGAAATTCGGAGAACCATTGTAGCCTTGTCATCTCTTCCCTACACCTACAACTCGCAGCACACGAAGTCCTCGGCTACACCACTCGTGGCGATTTTCCTAATTTTTACCCAGCAGGACCTCATCAGGGATGTACATGTACATGTATATGTAGAGTCGTTGAACAAACACATTACGTATATTTGCCTAATTATAGGATATCGATAACGTTTAACACAAGAAGGAAAAGGAGTGAGAACAAAGATGAAGCAGAAAGGCTCCAGACTGTTCAAAAGGGTGCTCAGCTCGGGTGCTTTTAGCAGAAGAAGAGGCTGAAGACTGCATTGTGACTCCGAGTTTCACGAACGAGGCGAGGGACAACACAACATTCATCCTCCTCTTGGTGTAAAGATACCGATAGTAAGACAGGTATGCTAGGAGTGAAGCAGATAGTGGTGGGCAGGAAGAGTAGCTGGTGTTGCAATTTAAACCTTTGTTTACTTTTCTTTTTAAACTTTTAAAACCAGTATGACCACTATTGTATTCACTTCGTCTTGTGGGGCACTGGTCAGCAGGGTCAGTACTGAAAAGCAGCATTTTGCCACTTTGCCCGAAGGGACTGCACGAATCCGTATTGTACTGCATTTGTCCTGGTGTCAGCCTGAAACCTATTCCACAGCGCTTGATGCTTGGTGTGTGTGTGTGTGTGTGTACATGTATGTGTGTATGTGTGTGTGTGTGTGTGTGTGTGTGTGTGTGTGTGCGTGTGTGTAAAAAGTACAGTTCGCAGCGACACATCTGTGATACCACAGGCTTACGATTGTCTAGTATGGTGATGACAAAAACTGATCATTCCGTGGCCCTTTCTTTCATCTTGTTGAAACATCTGTTTTGGCTGATTCCACAGGACACACGGTACTATTCTGTGCCTGTCCTTAAAATGCTGATCAAATCAAAGAGTGCTTCTCTTGTACTGCATTCATGAAGGGTATGAAGTTAGTTATGAACAGCCTTGTGCCTACTGTGCACCTGTCAAGCACACGTTTATGCCAGAGGGCCTGGTTATAGTTGCTGCTGTTGCGGCACTGTGCTGCATCACAAACGGACAGCCATGGGTACATATGTATGCCTTTCCATGTGTATGTGTGTCCGTGGTTGGTTTCAGTCCGTGGTTGGTTTCAGTCCGTGGTTGGTTTCAGTCCGTGGTTGGTTTCAGTCCGTGGTTGGTTTCACCCTCACTTCCTTGTATTGGCTATTTTCATTATGTGCCATGAAGTGCAGACAGTAAATAAATAAAGAAATGTGCCTCTATGAACAAAAACTTTAAAAGGGGAACAGGAATTCAAAGGATCGGTCGGGGTAAGTGAACTGCCTGAACATAGGAAAGAATAACCCCACCCAGACTAGAACCTGAGACCTCGCTTGTCATGAGCAATGATTTAAACCGTTGAGCTACATGTATGGGACCAGGCCGGCCTTGGAAGGAAAAAGGAAGAGTGTAATTCTTGACTTGCGGGGAATTTTATGATATGGAGTATGATGATGGATTTACGAAAAGACTGAAAAGAGCCGAAAGACACCTCAAGCATTTCGAGTCTGGCCTCACATTAAGCCTTAGTGGATAATGCTCTAAGAAATGGCAGATGATGGCCGAACGGCAGTGCAATAATTGGCGTAACCATACAAAGCATATGGCGAGCAGTGTCTGAGATTCTGCTCCTCGTCTTCTTCATCCTTGCACCGAATATACAATGTAAATGTCTACTGAAGTATGTACATGAAACGTGACAGAAAAAGTATCAAATTCTGCTGATTGTGTGACGAATTTGAGAGTTTTTCCATCAAGGGCTACGCCACGCTAGCAATGATTGGCTGTTGTCATCTCCTGTCACTTCAACTCACTCTACTTTGTGAAGTCGTTAGCATCTGTCCACTCAACACTATGAATGCAATCCTGATTGGCTTAGCGTGTATTTAAGTGGCCCGTGGCTCATGGAGTCACAGGGACTGACAAGGCAGTGACGGATACTGCCAATCTACGCCAAATACAACATGTTCAAAAAGCCCACTTAAGCTGTGCTTCAATCCATATGGACTGATATCTTCTGCATGCCAGAACATTTTGCCGTTCTTCGCCCTGTTGCAAACGAAGAGCTGTGTCCCTATTATTAATGCATGAATGACACTCTCAAGTCAACACTCTCAGCATAATTTTTAATATAGTCAACTTTGCAAAATAATGCGAAAAGTGTCATTGTAACGCTAGAACTGTGTAGTGAGACAAACAATCATCATGTGCACCTACGAAAACAATCTTAACGCAACTACATGTTTCTTCTGCTTACAAAGATCAGGCTTATGCAAACGAATACAAACGGCCTCAAGTACTTTCAACGAACTAGCATACTGTGCACGACAAAAAAAACAGAAAAACTAAAATCATCACACACCTGGTAGACACTGAGGGTGACACAACAAATGAAGAAAAATGGCAGACTTCTTAAGATCACAGTCACCATCCGATTCCGCGTCTCCAACAACCGCAATCTCGTCCTCCGTCTCATCTTCCAACTCGTCCTCAGTGTCGTCCTCCGTGTCATTCTCCTGATCAGGTATGCTAGTCAGTTGAAAGTACCTGACCGCGGCTGTTTGTATTCGTTTGCATAAGCCTGATCTTTGTAAGCAGAAGAAATATGTAGTTGCGTTAAGATTGTTTTCGTAGGTGCACATCATGATTGTTTGTCTCACTACACAGTTCTAGCATTACAATTATTAGTTTCTCACCCGCCGTTGCAAAAAGTATCATTAGTCATGAGGTGAGGTTTAAAGGGGAAGTTAAGGCAAAAATTAAAATTTCACCAGTTGTAGTCTTCGGGGTGCTGAGTCGAATGGTCCTGGTCCGAGGAAGCTGAGACGCTCCCTTCCTACTTGAATCCCAATCGAACTCGCGCACTTCCACCGAAACTGGGTGACTGCGCCCTACGAGATGGGGATTTGTATGCAAAATGTCACTAAAAGCGCCATTTCGTTCTTATAAAAGCACGGATGACCGCGATTGGCCCATATGTTGTAGTCTTTTGGACGCTGAGTCGACTGGTTTTGGTCCGAAAAGGCTGCGATGCAGCGTTCCGCCTTTATTCCCAATCGAACATGGTTGAACAAGCGGTCACGTGCTCCTGCGTACGCCAGTCACCTGGTCACCGTGCCTGCAGGGTACAACTTACTAGCCTGTTTGACCTTTTTTGGGTGCAGTCCTGTCACTCGAGTTGAACTCGAGTTGAACCTTGGTGTGAAAGTTGTCACCTGCTGGCGTGGTGACCAGGTGATTTGGGCACCCAGGAGCACGTGACCACTTGTTCAACCATGTTCGATTGGGAATAAAGGAGGAACGCTGCATCGCAGCCTTTTCGGACCAAAACCAGTCGACTCAGCGTCCAAAAGACTACAACATATGGGCCAATCGCGGTCATCCGTGCTTTTATAAGAACGAAATGGCGCTTTTAGTGACATTTTGCATACAAATCCCCATCTCGTAGGGCGCAGTCACCCAGTTCCGGTGGAAGTGCGCGAGTTCGATTGGGATTCAAGTAGGAAGGGAGCGTCTCAGCTTCCTCGGACCAAGACCATTCGACTCAGCACCCCGAAGACTACAACTGGTGAAATTTTAATTTTTGCCTTAACTTCCCCTTTAAAGTATGCAGTTAAATGATCAGCAGATCTGAAGATTGTGTAAGCAGTTTTTTTAGGCGCCGACCATGATAGCCATTGCTTGAAACGTTGTGGCTTCAAAGGACATTCTCCACTTGGCTCCCCCTGTTACATAGGGGTTCAACTTCGGTAGGGATTGGCAGCTTCGGTAGGGATTGGCAGCTTCAGTAGGTTCTGATCCAGCAGGGATGTGACAGTACAGGGAGAGTGCGGTGGAACGAGCTTAGAACAAAGTCTAATCTTGAATTGTTCAATAAAATACATTGAAAGGTGGCAGTCTGGGTTCGCGGCCCGACCGCATGAACACAGCCGTAACTTCCATAATAATTGATGAATTTTGCTCAAATCTTGACCACATACCCAGTGTATTTCACTAAGTCCAATGAAGTATAAATCAAGCTCACACATGGGAATCCGCAGACACAATAGTCAAATCTGCGATTATGCCGTACCACCAATACCTTAGACGCAATATGCAAACGCAGAAAGAAGCTGGGTAGAAACTGAGTGCTCCACAGGATTTCCTTCACATATACCTAGGTGCTAAGTGGAGCGGAATTTTGAAATCATATTCAGAACAAAGTACTCAAGCTGTCAAACAAAAATCATGCAATCGCGCAAAATTTAGGTCCTCGATCAGTAGCACTTTACTCAAAGCTACTAGACAAATATAAAAATCCATGACACTTAGCACCTTGATAAATGCTCACAGTTTCCAAAAATGTATGGTTTATGGGGTCTGTGACTTACAGGTTCTTCGCTACGCTGTCTAAGAGGTACGGGACTCAGTGGAAAATGGAGAAAAAAAGTGCTCTGTGCAAGTACAGATGGAGGTATGTCTGTCCAACTAGAACTTACTAGAACTTAGTCGAAGCCACCAGCTTCATATGTCAAACCTTCTTCCTCTTGCTGCTCATCCTGGATGCCTTTCCTGA